TGCCGTGAATTTGGAATGCAACCAACCAGCTTTGTTTGATGCCCCTAAACCCTGAAGCTTAAACCCTAAACCTTAAGCCCTAAAGTCTAAACCCTAAACCCTAAACCCTAAACCCTCAACCCTCAACCCTCAAGCCCAAACACTAAACCCTAAACCCTCAACCCTCAACCCTCAACCCTAAACCCTAAACCCTAAAGACCCTAGACCCTAAACCCTAAACCCTTTGTCAAAGTCAGTTCGTTTCCTCCTCCCTAACCCCGAAACCGAGTCTCCAAAAAAAAATCTGGTCAACCCTAAAACTCCTCGACCCCCAGAGAGTTAACACCAAAAACACCATAAAGCCCGCAATCCCTCACACGTTAAACCGTCAAACCCTCAGCACTGAACCCTAAAACTCCTAAGCCCTAAGCCCTAAACCCCGATACCCGAAGCCGTAGGGTTGAGGATTTAGGGCTTAGGGTAAAACGTAGAACCCCCCCCAAAACCCCACGATGCGCCGGCCTGAAGGCGGCGACGAAGGCCTCGCAACGTCGGGCCTTCTCGAGCCCGGCCTTGGGGGTGGGAACTTCCTTCTCATACTATAAGGGGTTCTATGAGGAATCTACCTACCTATGTATATATATATATATACACTACATACATACATACCTACATACATCTAGATCTAGAAATATATATATATATATATATATGTATATATATGTACATATGTATGCATATGTACATAGAAAGGTTAAGGCTCAGAGTTTAGTTTAAGTGGTCGTCATTAGGGCAGGGTCTGGGGCTAAGGTGCCAGATACAGGGTAGAGCGCGTGGGTGTAGGGTTAAGGGGCTCAGGCCTTAGGGTTTAGGGGTTGAGGGTGGAGTGCGTGGGTGGCTTTGACAGCGAAAGCTTAAAAGGCAGCGCAGGGCAACCCTGAGCATCATCACCTGCGACCACCTGAGACCAGCACCGCCACTGCTGTTGCTACTTCTGCTCCTCTTGTCATCGCCGACACTCCAAAAACTCCACAGCAAGTGTGCTTTCGGAACCTTGGTACTTACTGCGTTTGAGCTGCCACCGTTCAAGTAACGGCTCTGAAAGACGAGAGACTCATGGGGGCGTACGGAGACGCGGGAGCTTGAACATTCGGAAGTGAACACTTTTCAAAAATGCGACACTGTACTATGCTATACTGTGCTATGCTATACTGTGCTATGCTATACTGTGCCATGCTATACTGTGCTATGCTATACTGTGCCATGCTATGCTATACTGTGCCATGCCATGCTATGCTATACTGTGCCATGCTATGCTGTACTGTACTGTGCTATACCGTGCTGTACTGTAAGAACACCAAGGCAACAAGCCCGAAGCAGCTCTTTGACCCTAATGTGCTGGCCTGAATAGCTACCTTAAGGACCAACTGAACCCTTTCAGGGTGTAACTACGGTGCAGATCCCATACAGGCTCATAATACAAAATGTAGAAACTTCAGACTCGTTGTGTGTCAACACCTCTATATATGGGGATTTCCGAAAAAAAAATTAGGGAACCCTAATATAGTACCCTAAACAGTAGGATCCTTGTCATAAGGACCCCAAAATAAGGTACTCCCCATTTTCGGAAACTGCCATATCAAGTTTAGCATCTCGGAGATTTGTGGTGCTAAGCTGTCTGGTCAAGCCCTCGACCAAGAGCTGACTCTAAACCGTAAAGTACAAACTCGACTGAGAAAAGCCCTGGTTACCTGGTTCCAATCGGTGCGTTTGGGTATCTAAAACCCACGTCTACCTATCAGGTCCCTTAGTTTAAACTATATGAAAACCGCCAACCCTGCTGAACAGGGTCTTTAATACCACCGGGGCCCCCACCACGAGCGGCTTTCGCCTGGGTCAGACTTTACGATTTGAGCGACAGCATGTAAAGGTTTAGGTACTTGGTTGTGGGCTTCAGGGCTGGATGCCCAGAGAAGCTTGCCGAGGTCTTCTGTACGAGTATGGGCAGTGGATATCGGAATCCGAAACACGGGATTTGCTGAGTTTAGGTCGCATGGGAAAACAAGAAAACAGCGATAGACAGCATCACGCTGATACTTGTAGCGTAGTACTTAGTAGCAGCCCAAGACAACAAACACTCAAGCCGCCGTAATTGTTTTTTCTGAAGCATGAATCGACCGAGGCAGGAAGTCTCAAATTCCAGGTAATACAAGCAGTCTTCCCCTAGGGCTTAAGTTTTCGGAATTTGGGTGTTGAAAGCCAAGCCAATGATCATGGCTTTGTCTCTAGTGTAGTCTTACATATTAGTCTAAGCCCTGAACCCCTAAATCCTAAACTTAACATTATATGAAGAAAAGAGATTCCGGGTAGGATGCTCACAGTACTGACACTATAATACCCCGTCTTGCTACGACGCATTCTGCGATGTGGTCCGCCGTTCGATACGATGATAGCTTGTGATGGTATTCGGTGAGTAGGAACACGTATGCAAGTGCGAAGTGTCTACACGTTACGTGTAACTCCTACAGTACCTTTTACCACGACTCCTGCAACATCAAACAGGGCCCAGGGCACCAGGGCTCTTCGCCAAAAGCCGGTGCAGCTTCGGCTGGCTTTTCCACTGCACCTCGCACCCGAACTTACGCAATAAAGGGGCCTTGATGGTGAGAGTATGGTTACTGCAATACTGTAACACTATCCAAACTGGGGCTCAAGGGACACTACCAATAGCACTTCAGCATAAATTCACACAGTTTGAAGGTTGTTTCTAGTTGCGTAGAGGCGTGGAAAGTGACGCTTAAGGCTTGTCAGCCTATGAGAGATAAGGGGCAGAGAGGCTAACGGGCGGATAGGTTCAAGTTCATTTACCTCTGGGACAGGACTCTTAGGCTTCTGAGGTTGGTGGGTTTAGGGTTTAGGGTTTAGGGTTGACAGGTCTTGCTCCGGTTCTAAGGCCGATACAAAAAGGTTCGTGAACTGCAACTCACGCAGGCTGCGCGCAGTATCGGGCCACTGCAAATCTTACCGGTGGAGGTCCCCAAAGGTGCGATGACCAAGACGGGGCAGTTTGACCCCGGTTTGCGTGTAAACATGCCCATAGTTTTGTAAGTTTCCTCAACTGCAGGCACAATCCAGCAGGCGTATCGGTACTAAGCCAAAGATACAAACTCGAAAGCGAGGTTTTCAAGTGTTGTCAACACCCTCGCCTGCTGTCGGATGGAGTCGGAGCGAAACTAAGTTTGATTGCGATCCTCCCCCAAAAACGAGCAGATGCAGCAACATCCACAACGGGCCTTCTTATGCTCTCACGTAATGTTACCTGTATACTATCAACCCTACCTTGGATATGCCCTATGATACTCTGGTTACTAAAGGATCCCGCCTGAAGTAAGACCACCCCCAAACCCTAAACGACCTTCAAGCCCAAACCCTGAACCGCAGCAATACGAATTTTCGTTTTTTGACTTCGAGCCGGAGCAACGCGAACAACACGGGGCTCTCGACCCCAAACCCTAAACCCCTAAACCCTAAACCCCTAAACCCCTAAACCCTAGACCCGATTTTGGCTCTGCCGGCCTGGGGGCGTGCCCTCCATCGTCACGTCGACCGAGGCTGCTTGGGCGGCGGGCTCTGCTGCGACCAGGGCCTTTGGGTCTAAGTCTGGATTCTTGGGCTTCAGGGGTAGGGTATAGGGTATAGGGTTTAGGGGCCTTAGTAATTAGAATAGGTTTTTGTTGGGAGGGGGCTCCTTATTGTAATTATAGGATTATGGTATGACCTCGTCTAATTATTAAGGCGCCTATATTCGCGTTTAGGATGTTTGGGGTTCGGAGGTTAAGGAATTTTAGTTGCGGGCTCCTTTCCAGATACTTGGGTCAGGGCTTTGGGTTGAGGGCTTTGAGGCTTCGTACCCTGAACCCTGAACCCTAAACCCCAAACCCCTAAACACTAAATCCTAAACCCTAAACCCCTAAACCCTGAATCCCTAAACCCCTGTGAACCCTTAAACCTGGATCGTTTCCTCTAACACGTTTTCTTTGCAAGATTCTGGGCTTGAATTTAATCCCAATTCGGGTTCAATTTAACCTCACCGTTGGTTTGAATTTTACCCCTGCCTGGGTTCAATTGAACCTCTCCGTTGACTTCAATGTTACCCCTATCTGAGGGGTCAATTTAACCTCACGGTCGGGTTGAATTTTACACGTGCTTGGGGGCAATCCAACTTCAAAGTCGGCTTGAATAATGAGTCGACATTGAAATTGGTCCTGGATTCCCTTCTCAAAGTTGCCTTGCCAGAGCCCGGGTAAGGCCCCGGTTCCGCCCTCAATTTTACATTTCGGGGGCGCCCGGCGAGGTAAAATTGAGATACCGCCGGGGCGGTAAAATTGAGTGTTCCCCCTGAACTGGCTGGATTTTACCAGGCCCGGCTCTGCCCTCAATTTTACCTTTCCGGGGGCCAGGCCAGGTAAAATTGAACCATGATTTTGGCCTCGGTTGGCGGCCCGTGTGGCAGGCCTGGGTGATACACCATTGCATCGGCCACCGCATCTCATCAACACCCATCATAGCATACAGTTCACATCGGATATCCCACGAAACATGAAACTGCAGCTGCTCATCACCGAGAGTCTTCTGTGCCGAGATGCACCCTGGGTATTCAATCGCAGCCAGGCAAAATTGAGCACCCCTGGAGTTTTCAAACCAGGTAAAGTTGAACACCCTGGAGGTTAAAATCTAAGCCCCAAACCAAGCAAAATTGAACATCGGGCCCACCGACAAGATCCTGGTAAAGAGGGGCCCCCGAAACGTGGTACGGGGAACTAGCAACCTAGACCCTTACACCCCTAACCCCTAAGCTCTCAACCCCTAAACCCCTAACCCCCTAAGCCCTAAACCCCTAACCCCCTAAACCCTAAACCCCTAAACCCCTAAACCCCTAAACACCTAAACCTAAACTCCTAAACAAACCCCTAAACCGCCTAAACCCCTAAACCCCTAAACGCCTAAACCCCTAGACCCTATAAACCCCTAAACCCCTAAACGCCTAAACCCCTAAACCCTACAAACCCCTATAAACACCTTAACCTAAACCCCTAAACCCCTAAACCGCCTAAACCCCTAAACACCCCCAAAACCCCAAAACCGGGGGACGCTTCCAGCCTCCGAGCTCTCAGCAGCGCCGTTGCTTGGGACAGGATCCTCAGGAGCAGCCGATGCTCCCTCTGCAACCTTAGTCTGGCTTAGGGTTTAGGGTTTAGGGTTTAGGGTTCAGGGTTTAGGGGTTTAGGGTTTAGGGTTTAGGGGTTTAGGGTTTAGGGTTTAGGATTGGGGCTGGAAGACTAGAAGAAAAATGTCCGTTTTTTGAAACCCCATTGGGTTTTCTTATAACAAAAAGGTAAGATTGTAGCCAACCAGGACCCAATAGTTTTTTTGAGGGGCTTAAAGGTACTATAATTACGGGGTTTTGAGATTCTGGGGGTTTGGGTTTGGGGGCTTTGGGCTTAGCCCGAAAATAGGGTCTTGGAGTCCACTTTGGTATGATAATAGTAGGGAACTGAGGGGATACTCGTACTACTTCTAATGTCATGTGAGAGTCTGGAGACTCAGAACGGGGCTTGAGGCGGTTATACTGCAACTAGAGATACATTGACTATAAGAGGATGAAATGTTAGAGTGGGCCCTGACTTATAAGCCTGTTTGAAAGGAGGATTCTTGTAGGCATCCCACACCGGGCCCATGGATAGAAAGGTGGTTTGTGAATCAGGGTCCTTAAGGACGAAATGAACCTCAAAAGATTTTCTGGTTCATACAGCATATAATGACTCATCGTATATGGGTATAGGGCCCCTACTTATAGGGGTCATTTGGTCCCCAAGGGTCGGATACAGGGTAGTTGGAAGTATGCCAGTGCAGACCTTGACGACGATGACGAGTGAGAAAAAACCAGCACCAGGAGGACTGCCAGGACGGCTACGACGACCACAGGCCAGCACGACCACGACGACCAGAACGAGCACGACCACCAGGAGACCACCAGAAGACCAGCATGTGACCACAGACCACCTCTTTAAAGCCCTCCAAAACACACCATGCGCCTTTCAAAGAGGAAACTCAAATAAAGCCACTACTCCGAGAAGGTAGGCGGCCGTGGCATCCGCAACGACCACTGGTTCCGGCACTGTGCCACTGGGCGCAGCTTCTGCCTGGTGCTCGTGTGCCAAATCCCAGGTATACATGTGGTGTAGAGTTTATTTCCGGGGCTGGGTTTAGTGAGTGTACATGTTCGCAGTTTTAGGTCGAGGGTTCATGGGCTGCGTTCAGAGTTTTGGGTTTACGGGTGTATGAACATGCATGCATACATAACTGCTTACGGGTTGCATCGTACCTTGGTAGAAGACTGTGACCTTTCGTAGCAATCAGGCAGGACCGGCTGTGTAGAGACAAACGCAGCTAATAGTAGTCCATACTGTATGTGTAGACTACTATGTACGACCAGGCGGACGTCATGTACGGAAGGTTTGCAATACATAAGCGGAGCTGTAAATCCAGAGCTTGAACCAGTCCTCATGGTGAAGGAGTCGTGGTAGTTCGTCCGTCCTGATTGTTTGCGGTGGCGGTGGCGGCAGTTGCAGTAGTAGTCGCAGCCGGCGTATTCGTGTTGACAGCCGTGGTCACGATTAAGCTGCATACCCGTCTACATCCTTCTTCTGAGAGTTATTCGCTGGCATCTGCCATATGTGCGGCCATGTATGTAGACCCTCTGTAACGATCCCTTGCTTTAGAACTAAAAAGGCCCAAAGCACCCAATGAACACCCATAAAACCGTATAGCACCCTAAACAAGCTCAACACAAATCCCTATAGCAACCGTTCAAACTACTAGTAGGAAGCACCTATGAAAGCCCAGAACACCCTGAAAACAGACTACAAAACACCTATTCAACCTCGTTAAATCCGAAAGACACACCGAAGATATGTAGACATATGAAGCTGGCTGCCTCTGCGCCAAAGGCCTTGGAGGAGGCCCTGCGGATGTATTGGGGTGTGTTGGGATGTTAGGGCTTGGGGTTTTTGGAGTTCTTAGAGCTTTTGGGATGTAGGGTTTACAAGGTTCCGGGAGTTCGGGCGTAGGTGTTTAGGGTTTTGGGCTTGGGTGTGTTTCAGAGGGGTGCCATAAGGGTTCTGTCAGGTTATAAGGGTGCGATGGTTCTGCAAGTATCCTCAGAACAAGGGCTCTAGACAGCGTTCTATAAAGATTAGATGCGTTCGTAGGGGTTTTATAAGATTGCTACATAGGGTTCTATAGGGTTTAGGGGTTCTGTAAGATTTTACATGGTTGTCGGGGACATGATGGCAGGACGCTATGCTGGAGGGTTTCGAGGATGTTTTGCGATTTAAAGGCTTGCCTGCTTGGCAGAGTTCAAACATCAGGGGACGAAGTTAAGATCCAGGAAAAGGCTGAGCTGTTAACACTCCATGCTGTCGTAAGAAAATCGGACATCAAATTTCAACACGGGGTGACAGCTGGGAGCTAGGCGCTCCACAAAGCAAACACTGCTGGTTCCTGGTTCTATGAGTCGGGTTCATGTTAGTGTTTAGGGATTAAGGATTTGGGTTTGGCCAGCCCCGAGCCCCCGAAGCAC